CTAAAGCCTAAGTTATTAAGTTTAGGTAGTATAATAGTAAAGGTATATATAGCTAAGTATTCTTTAAATATAGTTATATCTTAAAAAATCTATATATAGGCTATAAAAGAGTAAAGAGGTCCTTAATTCTTATAACTTCTTATAATAATTATTTATTATTATATTATAGCCTATAGCTTATTAAAGTTAACCCTTACTACCTTAAGGAATTTCTTAATAGCTAATATACTCTTAATTTTAGAAATCTTATAACACATACCTAGTATATATACCTCTTCCTACTTCTTAATCTACTTAAAGGCCTTTATATTAATAATCTTTATTATATTTAATATATTATTATAAGTATATAATACCTCCTTCCTAAAGTCCTCTTATAAAAGAGTAAGTATATTACTTATAATATATATCTTTTACTTTAAGGTTATATTCTCTTTAAATTATAGCTTAACCTAATTCTATATAACTAGTTTAATATTATTTAAAACCTAAATATATATTAGATTAATTAGTTTTATATATATTTTAAAGTCTTTAACTATATAATTATAATAATACTTCTTTTTCTTAAGTTCTTTTTTAATATTATTATTTTTTAGGTCTAGTACTATTATAATTACCTTTAGATTTATATTTACCTTCTTTACCTCCTCTAGGCTTACCTTCTTAAGCTTTTATTTAACTATTTTAAAGATTAATAAACTTAGTTTAAGTAAAGTATTATTAGGGTAGTTAGGGGTATTAGGGTTAATATAGTCCTAGGTATATAAGCTCTTAACTTAATTTTTAAAAGCTAAGAATTAGATATCTTAGGTCTTTAGACCTCTAAGCTTTTAAGTAATAGAAGATATAATTATTTTTAATAGATTAATCTTTAGAATCTTAAATTACTTATTTATTAAGAAAAGATATTAAAATTAAAGCTTAGTTCCTTTTAGATTATACTAGGTTTATAACTCTTAGTAATTAGTCTCTAGGCTTATAATTAGTAAGTTAACTACCTAGAGGTATAAATAATAAGAAACTAGTAGGTATAAGGTTTTAGGTAATATAATTCTATTATTATATGTCTACTTAAAAGAAACTGTCCTAGGGGAAAGGTACCTAGTTTTATGTGGGAAATAGGGGCTAAAGTAGGTACCTTTTCCCTTCCTCGGTTTATAATTAGTGGTTGGAAACACAGCACCTTACTGGTTGCTGTGGCCCACACAACCTGCTACAGCCACGGCTTTAACATGATGTGTAGTATAATACCTACGCGGGAGAGGGGTGTTTTCTAACGTGCCCTCTAATAGATTTTCGTAGATAAAATATTAATCAGGCATGTTGCCATGGATTCAGGCTTCTTAGATAGGATATTAGAAATTTTCTTAATATGCTAAAAAGTGCGATTTCCTTATAAT